TTTTTTTTTTAAATCTAAAAATCTAATCTAATGCAGGAGGAAACTTGTCACATAAAACGTGATCCCTTCCATTTTAGAATGGAAATGTGAGAAGAAATTATGTTACGATGAGCAGCAAAAATTCCATTCAAGGTTATATGAAAGCTTTGAAACCTCTTCTGAGTATAACATCAAAAACGAATGAATTCTACACGGAAACTAGTTCTTGTAATATGTAGGAAAACACTTAATATCACTAACAATATACTCTTACATCTGCTGTTGAAATAGCTGATTTGGACAGCAGAGCCTAAGGATCTACATTCAGCATTATAAACAGAACTAACAGAACAGTGAGAAGTAACATAAGAGAAAGGACAGAACTACCTTTACTATCAGAATTTATCAGTGAGAAGAAGCAAGAGAGAGCGCGGTGTGACATATCATCTCTTTCCCATCAGTGAAGATGGATCTGTCCAAGTACATACCTAAACAGAATATCACTACTTCAAATCACTACTCCCAGGGGAGTTTTCAGAAGAGACAGGAAGAAAATGGTGCATTGTGGATTTTGTTAATGATTCAGTCTATCCGACAAATGCTCTCAGTATGCTGCTAAAAAGGAACTTGTGATTGGTAATTATTTCTTTGGAAGCATTCTTTCTGCATAAAAGGATAAGCACACAGAGAAGTAGCTGATCCTAGGGGGTGCAAGCAGCTTCTGAAACCCAATGGCAGAAAGGGTGTGCCAGATTTGGAATACAAATTGGGTAAGATAAACCAGAACTTATACCACAGGTTCAGACTAAGGCACAATGTACAATGTGAACACAGGCATAACTAGGCAAATCTTCTGATACTTGATCAAGAGCTTCCCAAGATACAATCCTCTGTCTAACATTACTTTTCTAAAAGGTGGCATATTTACCAGCTGGTTTTGTACATACTTGAGGCTCCAACCATGATTTTACTTGTTTTCCATTTTAAATCTCATTCATGCAACACTTCTCGATGATAGAAGAGGACATCCACCATCCCTTTAGGGAAGGAATTTCAAAACTGTAATTTGCAAAAACACTAAATCGTCTAGATAGGCATACGGCAAACAGCCACACGGGTTACAAACCACTTGTACAAAAGGAACAGCTGAAGGGTTTTTTGGCCTACCACTTTCCACACGACTCAAATGGCCAGAAGGTGCACACTCTTGCCATTGAACCTAAGAAAGAACTGAGACAGTTTCTATTAGCACACGAGAAAATGGGAAGAAAAGAAAATGAGTAGAGCTGATATGGTGGAAAAATGTAAATATCACACATGATTCAGAATGTCCATAAAATATGCTGAAAACAAAATATGCATACGAATGGTGCTAGGAAAGGACAGGGTAGTCGATGAAAAATTAGAAGACACATCATATGTGAAGACTTCAGGATTATGAAGAAGAAAATAAATGGAAATATAGGGGTTAGAAAAATTCTGATTATGGAAGAGAATAAAAATTAGTGGATCAGAAAGAGCTGGACATAGGAATAAACAGCAGGACAGCTGCAGAAAATCAGAGGCAGAGTAGCACAGTATCTTAAATTCTTACGACTGGGATGAATATAGAACATTCTGTGTTGCTATATGATTTGAACTGATTAATTAGTAATTGTAAGGGAGTCCTTCCCTCTCCACACAAGTCCCCAACTGCTCTAACTCCTGCTGTTTCTTTAAAATGCTAATTTGTGCCCACATCTCATAATAAAGAATGAGCAGAGTATCTTGTAAGAAAATTTTGAATTAAGGACTGAAGCATGAACTGTTGGCTGCCTTATCTTCATCTTTCACTAGTGCCTCTGTTCATTCACTCTCTATTAATTTAAGCTTCCTTATGGAATTTCACTTACTTTAAGGCCAAATTCTTATTCCCATTAAAATCTTCTAGTCAGATTTCATGTAGTCAGGAGGGAAATTGTTTATGAATAACATAAAGAAATGCTTAAACAAAACTATATTTCAGTAGTTATTAAACACAAACACAACATTAGCTGTACCATTATGAACAACTCTGTTGTCCAAGAAGAAAAAATTACACATCTATTGGAATCAACCTAAGTACAAACTGATTCTGGCATAAGACCAGAGAAATTTGCCACTTGTGAAAAGAGAAGATAAATGGTATAGCAAAGAATGTTTACATGTATATATTCCTTATAAAATTAAATTATGTATATTAGTATTATAATACCATGAGTCATCATTCATTTACTATTAAAAGGAGCAACTGGGCTCTTTAGCCCATGGTCTCTCTTTTCTCTAGCTACATCAACATGAATTTTTCTTGACTATTTACATCATCGGTTTTACTCTAATTAGCTAACAACTGTGGATTAAAGCACGTTTGTGAAAGCCTAAGAACATTTCCAATATACAGTATGCTTGACCAATGTTCTCATTCAACATAATGAGAAAAAACTAATATCTAAGCCTTCAAGCACTGGCATTAGGTGCAAGGATTCTAGCCAAATTCCACATCACTTAGTTACGTTGTGGATACTTGCATTCCCTCTGCACTCCAAAACAGACACATTATTCTTCATTTTCTACCTTAGAAATAGAATTGAACAGAATTATCAGTGCACAATAGCTGTCCTATTTCTACAAGAAAAAGTAGTTGTATTTCAGTAGCAGCCAAAAGGATCCTAGTTACATTACAAGCATTCTTTAATAATGCTAGACAAAAGCTATAGTGAAGAGATAAGACAAATGGTGCCCACTTAATGAGCACTTATGGAATGATGAAGATGAAATATTAAACGAGGAGGCCTTATGACTCATTTACCAAACACTATTGAAAATACATCAGGCCATTGTATATAAATAATACATCCATAAAATGATAAAGGCACAATTTATAATTGGCTGGAAAATTCTGGTTTCAGTAACTCAATTTCTGTCTCACAGAAACACTACGCCAGAGACTAAATTCAAAAATGCACTAAAATAACCCATCTGAAGCTCCCCCTCTTTTACAACAGACCATAGAGAATTAGAAAAAATAATTCAACAACTTTCATCCACCTACAGCAACTGCATGTCCATTTTGTGCTTGTAAGGGAAATGATTACAAGGAAAAAGCGTGCGTGATTTAAGGTCTGATCATATTAAACTGTGACACTAATACATGTATGTGGATGTCGACAGTTAGCAGGAGTGATTAGAAACATCCTTTTCCAGTGTTGTGCATACTGCTTTTGAAGGTAAACAAATGGTGAGTCAGAATCTTGAGGTTCCATTCAAGCTTTGGAACAAAGATGATTTCTGTCCCCTTGATCCCTTCTGGTCTATCCCTCTTCTATAACTCTCTTCTTCTTTGCTAGCTGTCTGTGCTAGCTGCATTCTTTTATGAATATTTACTCAATTCCAGCCTCTAATTTTCAATCTTTAAGCCCAGGCCTACTGCTTTTCCCACCTACTTCTAGCCTCCCATTCTGAGATCATATTCTACCTCCCAGAATTCTCCCCTTTCTGATGGAATAAGTTTACCAAACAGATATTAAAGGAAAATTTGCCATTAAAACAGAGAAAAAACTATTAAGCTCAATGAGATGCTCAAAAATGGATGCATCAGTTCAGTGGTCTTCAACATAAAAATGCCCTTAATTCTCCATTCCTTTGTGAGGCTCTCTTTTATAGACTTGCTGAAGCCTATACCTACATGCTAATCTCTAATTTCCCTAGTAATTTACTGTGTCCTTAAGACACATCCTCATTATTCAGACCAGTTTTAATAACCTTTCCGGTTTCTTTTCTTTTGCTTATGTGAATTTTCATTCTGCTAGGCAGTTTGGTTCTTTACTTCCATCGTTTACATTCCGTTGCTTTTTACTATTTTGATACTTTATATAGAAAGTGTTCCTTTGCTCTTGAAACAGTTCAGTAAAATTTCCTACCCTGAAGCCTCAGAAGCTCTTCAAAGACTTTCAGTAATGTGTGTGCTTGTATACACTTAAAAAAAAAAAAAAAAAGAAAAAACACCCTGCTTTAGTAAGTCTCAACGTTTGCAAACCAATCCAAACAGCAGCAATATTTCAAACCTTATTCAATAGTAACAGGCCACTATCCACTATAGACAATTCCTAACAAACATGTGACAGTAGAGACACTGAATATCTGGTTTGAAGCTGACAAATTCTTTAGACCTCTGCAAAATAAGGTTTAGATGCCTAAATGCAGTGGTGGTCTAACCTGGCTAAACTGAACCATACTGTCTTAGAGGCAACAAGTGAGTTATGGTTCTGTGGGACTGGTTAAATTATCTTCTTCCTTACGTGTTATCAGCTTGGAAAATAAACAGAACATCAGCCAGCCCTAATAACAGATTTGCTCCTCATATGGGAAGCATTTTGCCCTGTTTTACCTTTATAGACTCAGAACTTCTCTGCTGTTCCCTTGCCTTAATCTTTCCCAGTAGTCTGCTGAGCTTTATTTGAAATGCATCTACATATAGATAATTCACTTTGCAGTACAGAAAAAAAATGCACCCAGCTGCAATATTTTTCCTGAACACTGGGTACCTGGAATTTTCTAGACTCTCATACAGTCTCATCAGTTTTTGAACAGACATGACACATTTGTTTAAAACAGAGAGAGGTTACTTAGCAGTAACTGCAGTTCTTTGACACATGTTGTGTACAGGCACATTAGTATTGCAAGTGTTTGTTCTACAAGCGCTTAAAGTGAGGACTTTCTTGTAGTACTTGCAGGGTACAGTCACATCAGTTAACGTGCACCCTTAACTGGGTACAAAAAGTCCTCGAGTCACAACCACAGGTGGCCAAGAGAATATTCTGGGAGGAGCAGCTCCAACGTTTTAGAGTCTTGAACCTTTAAAGGATTTTGATTGCCTTTTTGTGAAAAAGGCCTAAGTTTACAGATAGCTCTAAAACCTGGGTCCTTGCCCTTTTATTCTTTGTGCATACTACTGTTATGTCCATGGGATTCCAAACTAATATCCACAAAAACTGTAGGCTTGACTATGTCATAGGCTCTTCTTTGTGTTTCATACATGCAGTTTATGTCAGGGGGCTAAAAGGCATTGAAACATACTAGATAATCCATGGCACCTGAATTCTGTCTGCGTTCAGCATGTTACTGTTTGATGTCTTCTGTTCCTTCAACCAATATAAATACAACCTATTGACTTTCTTTCCTCTCTCAAATCAAGTCCAAAGGACGAGGCAGGAAGATAATAATAAATACAATTTTTGGTGAAAGAGTCAGATGCATTCTAAAGTCCAGTGTTAGTGTCTAAAAGTTACATTATCCAACATATAATCTCCCCTGGGAAATCAGTTTGGAATTTCCATGACTCTCCCACTGGCATCCTTAGCAGTGAAATAAGAAAGGAACAGAACACAGAATGGATAATCATCTTATTAAAAAAAAGTTAGTGTTTGCAGGAAGGGCTGAATTAGGAGAACAGTTACCTTACTTCTTGTCTGCAAGTATCTTCTTTAAAATACTCTGAGGACTCAGCTTTCACAGCACAGAACACAGACATCTTTCCTAAGTTCTTAAATTTGGAGGAAAAAAAAAGAAATAAAAACAGGTTACTACACTATTCTGTCACTAGTCAGAACTGCATAGAACTACATTAACTTGTTAAGAGCTAGGAGATCCTTAAGTGAAAAAGCAAATCACTACTGAATTTAAAACCACATCTCTGACAATTCATGCTCCTCTAACCAAGATTTTATTACCCGCATCTCAGCACATAGAACAATCAGTGTTATTTTAAAACAAAATTAACTGTACTAAGTATTTTTCCACTCTTGAACTAACTTTCTGTTACTTGAGTGATTCTTATGCCTCTAGTTCTACAATGGCCCTTTTGATACAAATGACTCTTGAGTTATACATTTACTCTTACAAAACTCAGCAATTTATTCGGATTTAAAGCACACCCTCCATGAAGGCACAGCAACTTATTTTGAAGACTTTTAGGGATAGAGAATCTAAAATAGTCAAACTGTTTGTGTCAACTGTTAACCATTGTCACTTCTGAAAATTACAATTAGTTTATCGCCTGCCTGTGTATTGGAAAGGTACCTGAAAATTAATTAAATCATCTTTAGATCTTTTCTGGAAAAAGAGACTGACAAACTTAGATTTCCATGATATACAGCATATTTTCCAGATGTAATTATTTTCTGTGTAGTCTACATTTTGGTAGCACACTTTTCAAAATGGGAACACCAAAATTATGCACACTATTTCAAATGATTCATGCCAATGCCACATACAACACAACCACTTTCTTTTCCTAACTGTACGTATACACACACACACAAAGACTCTGCTGAAATCACTTCCTACGAAACCCAGGGGGGAGGAGGTGGATCATCACTGCTTCACGTTTCATTCAGTAGCAGGACCCACTGGTTCCTACCTCAAAGCTCCTTCCCTCCAACCATACCGTTACGTGTTTATGCAACTAAACGTACACGAAGCTAAAGAAGTACAGAAGACGAAGACGACCTAGTAAAAACAAAAGCAAAGAAAAAACAAAAGTCAATCGATGCTTACTTCAGACCAAGCTCAGACCCCCGAGCTGGCTTATCACACGACACAAGCTGCTACACAGGCACAAGAACGCCCCTGAGTCTTCTTACGCGTACACCACTGCTGAAAAACTTACTAGTAAGTGTGTAACGTCCATTTTAACTGAAGAGAGCTTTCTGCAGCAGCTTTTGCTCTCCCTCCCCTTCATACTGTGCCAACCCCGTGATTTTTGCTGTTGTATGGACCGATGCAGAATTGCTCCGGATTAATCTCCCCTTGTGCTTTATCCTGCCGGATTATTGTCCAGCCTCTATCGTTTCCTGCTCTAGCGCATCCACGCCAGCCTTACAGCGAGTTCAGCAACGAGCAGGGCAGGGCTGCGATGGGGTAGTAGTGACTTAAACACTTTTTAAACAAGCAGCTAGACACGCGGGGAGGGCAGGCACGGAGAAGGCAGCGGCTGCACCACCA